AAAAAAAAAGGAAGTAGTCCTCTTTTATTTTTTTAATTTTATTTTATCTGTTGATTAGGGCCGGAGGAAAGTATTGTTGGGTTGGTTTCCTACCTGCGTGTTACCTCCCACCCACCCTTTGCATGCATTTTCCGGGTTGGTACAGTGACACGTCAACAGTGCCACATCAACAATGACACGTCAGCTACAGTGCCACGTCAACAGTGCCACGTCAGACACAGTGCCACGTAAGCAGTGCCACGTAAGCAGTGCCACGTCAGACACAGTGCCACGTCAGCAGTGCCCCGCCACCATGACGGGCGCAGCTCTGGGCATGCCAGGCCAACTGGCCAATGAGTCCATTGCCGACTACAAAAAGCGCTTCCAGGCTCAGCTCGCTGCAATCGAGGCTGAGGAACAACGCCAGCTGGCAGTCAAGGCTGCCCAACTACAGGCTGAAGAAGCGGCAACAGCAGAGAAGCTGCGGCTACAGGCCGAAGCAGACGCAGATACCCAGGCTCGCCGCAAGGAAGCCCAGGATCTGCTGCTGCGGCATGAAGCCAACAGCATCGACAGACTCAAGTTCTGGCACTTTGAACCGAACGGCGACGAACCAACACCGGAAGAGAAGCATAAGGAGTTCATGGCCAAGCTCGTGACCAGGCTGGTTTGCACATGTAACCACCTGCAGTCCGAGCTGGCAAACCTTCAGCAGGCTGTGCGGAACCATCAGACTCAGCATGAGGATGCCACACGGGCACTGGACGCCCGTGTACTGGACCTGGAACAAGCTGTACCAGTACCAGCTGCTGGGGCTTCCAGCAGTGCATCCTCTAGCCACCAACTAGAGGAACGCGTTGACCACGTAGTGGCAATGCTAGGAGACATAAGTGCCTTCACAGAGCCGGCCACCATCAGCCAGCGGTTCGAGTTGCTGGACACTAAGATCAGTCAGCAACAGCAGACCGACCACAGCCACAACAACAGCTCGACAAGGCCATACAAGATGCCGACGTTCCGGATCGAGAAATTTGATGACTACACACATCAAGACCCGGTCGTCTGGTGGCAAGGATTTACAACGGAGTTGGGGATCCACGAGGTCCCTGACCATCTGTTCATCAGTGCTTTGTTCATCAACACCAAGGGAGGATGTCAGATCTGGCTCAGCCACATGGCAACCATCCACGGCGTCCAGGTTTCAGACCTACACAAGAAGGTCTCTTGGGAGGATATGACAAAGGAATGGAAGAAGCGGTTCATAGTGGATGACGCGCCTGCGCTCGCCATCAACCGCATCTTTGCGATGGCTCAAGGGAGCACACCGACACGTGACTGGCTCACAGACTGGCAGAAGATCGTGGCCACGCCCGATCTGG